ACAATTATTGAAGTAAATTGGAGAATAAATTTGTCGGGGTATCTAATTTTATAATATAATCCCTTTCAATACAGAAATTTATAAATTCAGGTAATTTATCAATTTGTTTGAAGAATCCTAAAATCATTTGTGAATTCTTTTCTCGTTCTTCTTCTGTTAATGACTGTCTTAATAAAAATGAAATAACTCCACTTGTAATATCACTATTAAGCGTTGATAAACAATCAACCCAAATGTCTTCTTCATCTAATTCTTCAAATTCCATTGGTTGTCCAGAATTTGGAAGACCAGGGCTTTTTGATTGTTTTTTCCATAAAGTTGATTTTTTCATTCAATTTGAATTTGAAAGATCTCTAAAAAAAAAAAGATTAAAAAAGAATTTTAAAAACTATTTAATTTAAAACTTCTATAAATTATTAAAAACTAAATAATATTCTTCTTTTTTTAATCCTAAAAAAAATTCAATTAGAAGCTCTTACATACCCATCTTTCTTCTGTTCCAGTGTCTTCTCTTGAAATTATAATTAATAGTATTTCCAGTCTTCATTCTAAACCATTGTGGAACACCTCTGTTTTGATGAATTTTCTTTCCAAGTTTTAATTTATATGAAAATCCTTTATGTCCAGTCTAACTTGTTAATTCTTTTTTTCAATTTTTTGATAACAGTAATAAAAGAAACATAACATACCATTCAAAGAATACTTGAATATTTTTAAAAACCCTTATTTTTTTTTAGTTCTTATTAAACAATTTAAAAAGAACTATTTTATTATTTTTTTATTATTCTTTTTTAATTCTTCTTTTTCAAATTTAAATTTCTAAGTGTTTCAAAAATTTACTCAATAAACGAAGAAGACATATCGACATCTTTTCCTAATGATATCATAGTACCAGTTTTCATATAACTTTTTTTTGTTGAGCTCATTTCCATAATGATAACACTTATTGTTTTCTCATTTTTGATAACATTTGGTTTGTCAAACTTAAAATGGAGTGTTCTTGTATCATATGGAGGATTTGATACATCATTTTTGGTAGTTAAATACATAGCTAATGTACATCCACCAACAGAATTCATGTCAGGTCCTGGAACAATGTTTGCCCATCCTTCTTCTACTATTTCGATTAGTAGTTTAGTTATTTTTAAAAGAATAAACAACAAACAAGGGGTATTTACTGTTATGTCATGACCACCTTCTTCTATATTTCCAATTGGTGAATACACAATTTCAATAAAATCAGAATCATCACTACTAAATGTCCACATAAATTCATATTTTAAAGTGATGGATTTGTTTTAGTGGTTGGTCTAATTTTAATTTCACAAGTTTTAATTGCTGAGACTTCAGGACAAGTTGTTATTTCAGAATAATATAAAGTCCTTGACCATTTATAACTTGAGAATTCTTTTAATACTCTTAATTTAATATCAGAGTTGTCAGCTATCATTTTTATTCTTCTTATGAAATTATTGAATAACAGTTCTTTTTATTTCTTAAAAATTTAATTAAAAATTGAAAAATGAACATGAAGAAATAAAACATCTCCATCTCTTTTCTTCTTCAAACATTTCTGCATCTAGTCCTTGTTGCACTAATTCATTATCAATTATTCCATCAGAAATCATTGAAAATAATGATGAAATATTCATAGATGATAATGCACTTGTACAAATAAATTTCATATTATTACTATCAGCAAATGACTTAGCTTGTACAATTGGAACACTATTAAATTATTATTTCTTTCATAAAAAAATAATGATATTATAAAGAAACCTTTCTTGAGAAGATAAATCAATTTTATTTCCAACAAGATAAAATTGAATTTTTCTTGTTATTGCTATTTCTTGTAATTCTTTAAACCATTGTTGCACATTAATAAAACTTTCTTGATTTGTAATGTCATAAACTAAAACACAAACATTAACATTACTAACATATGATGATATAATTGAATGATATTTTATTGAACTACCAATATCAAGTAATTGAAGTCTAAGACGTAGTTTTTGATTTGTAGTTATAATTTTAGAATGGAAATCAGTTCCAATAGTAACCTAATTTATTAGTATTAAAGAAATGTATTTTCAAAATGAACAAACATTATAATTATTATAAAATTCATCATACATAAATCTTGATATTAAAGAAGTTTTCCCAACTGTAGCATCACCAATAAAAACTACTTTCTTTCTAATAAGAGGATCCATATATTCTTTTTAGATTAAAAATTTTATGATTAAGTGATGATAAATGAAGAAATAATGATAAATGAGTAAAAGATTTATATCTTAATGAGATTTTAATGAATCAACAAAAAAAAAAAAAGAAAAAATAATTCAAAATTTTATCATAAAAAAAAGAACTTGAAATATTAAAGATTTATTTTATGTCTTTTTCTCTTCCAAGTTATGTTGATCCAACGAAGTTTGAATTACCAATAAGTATTGAACCATTAAGACCTAATGAAAGTAAAAAGATTACAGAAAATGATTATATTCAATTTTATGAAGAACCAGAAAAATGGTTTAATAATAAAATGAAAGAAAGATGGTTTAATTATACAGAAATAACACAAATTAAAACAACATTAATTACATGGAATGTAGCAGAAAGTAATCCATCAACAATAAAAATTGAAAATTTATTTAATGAAGGAGATTTATTTGTTATTTGTTTAGAAGAAATAGATATGTCAATAAGTGGAGTTATGACATTTGGACAATCTGAATTATGTTTAAGATGGCAATCATTAATAGAACAATCTCTAACTCCAAAAATATATGAATGTATTTTTTCACAACAACATGGAGGTTTAGCTATGTTTATATTTATTAAAAAAATAATGAAAAATGAAATTAATGATATTTCTGTTTCAACTGTTTCATTAGGTACATTAGGAATGGCAAATAAAGGAGCAATTGGAATATCATGTAGAATAGGAGTATGTAGAATTTTATTTGTAGGAGCACATTTTTCAGCTAATGTGGGACCTGATAAATGTGATGAATGTTATATAACTGCAAGAAATCAATTTCAATTTCCTATATTACCAAAGAATCATGATTATGAAATTTGGCTTGGAGATTTTAATTATAGATTAAATGGAACTGAAGAACAAATTAAAAAATATTTGAATGATCCAATTAAATTAATTATAACTGATCAACTTAATAATTCAGTTGAACGTTCAAGTGCATTTGGAGGATTTATTGAAGCACCAATTACATTTTTACCAACATATAAATTTGAAAAAGGAACAAATAATTATGATTGGAAAAGACTTCCAGCATGGTGTGATAGAGTTATGTTTAGAGTACATCAATCATATCAATTATCAATTCATAAATATGAAAGAATTGAAATATATTATTCAGATCATCTTCCTGTTAGATGTACAGCAATTATTAAACCAAGAAAAATTAATAATTCATTATTAAAAAATTCATGGGAAGAAATTCTTGAACTTTCAAATTATATTAGTAATGCACTTGTACCAACATGTGAATTATCAACAAAAAGAATTTTATTTGGAGAAATTATTCCATATAAAACTGTTCATTCATCTATTGAAATTACTAATACTGGAAGAATTCCAGTTTCTTTTAATATTATTTATATTTCAACAAAAAAAGGAGAAGAAATTAATCCAACATTTATTGAAACTAATATTATAAAAGATAATATTCCTATTAAACAAAAAATTTCAATTTCAATATCAATTACTATGACTGCAGAAAATATTCATTTAATGAGAAAAATAGGAAATGATTTTATAATGCAAATAATGATTCAAGATGGTGGTGTATTCTTTGTTGAAATTATTTTTAAAATTTCACAAACTTCATTTGGTTTATCTCTTAAACAACTTCTTCAACATCCAGAACCATTTATTATTTCTTCTTCAATTGTATCATTTCAAAAAACATTATTACCTAAAGAAATAATATTATTTATTAATACATTAAATAAACATAAAGAAGATCCTAAAATATTTACTACTCTTCCTACAATTGAACGTTTTGAAATTTATGAATCAATTTTTCATAGTGTTGATTCAATGGAAGAACTTGATAAATATAATATTTGTGCTTTATCAGAAGCATTTATCCTTTATATTCAAGCAATGGGAGGAATATTTATTCCAACACTATTCATTTCTAAAGATAAAAATTTAACTGATAATATTATTGAACCAGAGAATATGGTATTATTACGTGTTATTTGTTCTTTATGTAAAGAAATATCAAAAGTATCTCCTCTTAATCTTTCTTTAAATGAGTTACTTTCATATTTTAGTCAGGCATTAGTAAACCGTAAACTTGAAATGAATGAATTTTCAGAAATAACAAATGAAATAGTTACATGTGCACAAAATGTTCGATCAATTGAAAAAGAGATGACAGAAGCTAATTAAATGTATTTTGAAGAAGAACATTATAAAGGTTCATTAATAAGTTCATTTATCATTTTTTATTTCTTTTTTTTTAAAAAAAAGAACTTGAAAAACAGTAATAAATTAATGATTACAACAAACAAATTTATTATCACTTTTATTAATCATTATCATCATTTAAATACTAATCATATTATGTTAGGAACTGACCCATTTCTTTATTCTATTTCTACTATTCCTGAATGTCTCTTTCAAAATTCAACTTATGGAATAATTATGGCAATTTTTGATGATCAAACAAAGAATAAATATCAAAGATGGGTTTATAATCCAATTCAATACTGTGTTAATTATTCTTTATTATCTGTATTGAACCATTATATGGTAACTTCTTTAAACACATTATTTATCAAGAAAACAAAGAAAAATAAAATTGGAATTGAAGTCATATCATCTTTATCATCATCAATCATACCTTATTGGAATCAATCAACAACAATGATTGGATGGAATTGTTTTCTTCAAGTCGGTACTAATATGCTAATAACATTCATTAATTCATTTCTTGATTGAATTGATTTTAGAAATTATCTTTTATGTTATTTGTTTTAAATATGACACAAATGGTATTATGTTCTAAATGATGATTGTTTCATTTTTGTTGAATAGATTATAAATGAGATAATAAGAAGTCTTATTTTTTGATACTATCAATGACATAAAGAATATCATTATAAATAATCAATTATTAGATTATTATGATAAATACTAGATTCTTCAACTAATTCATATATGAAACAATATTTTTATTTTTCATAGTAATTATATAAAATAGTGTTCAATTCATTAGTTTATTGTTGTTATAAACTTTTGTTGAATTTAATTAGTTCTAATTATTAAATTTATTTAATTTAACATCAGTTAAACAGTTCATATACTGAATATTTCAATAGTTATATAAGTATATTCTATGAAAGATAGAAAAGACTGTCATAGAACTATTATATTTTTGTAAATATATCATCACAAATGTTAATAATTTTAATTTTTGAATGTTATTTTGTTACTTATTAATATAATTTTCATAGAGTTAATCTTAGAATAAAACAAATATGTTGTATTGAATATAAACTATGTTATATGAAAGTTCAAATAAAGGACAGTTGTTTTTATCGTAAATAATACAGTTTATAAGTAACAGAATGGTAATAGTTTTATTGTATTACATGTTAATCAATATTAAAGTATATTATAATGATAGTATAACTACTTAGTTTGTTTGAACACCTATATTTTTGTCTGATTGTTCTAAAACTAAATAATTTCAATAAAATCTTTTGAAATATAGAATTTAGTATAAAAATGAAAATTGTGTTTAAATCTTTGATAACAACTATTTCCAAGAATAGTAGTATAATAATGTTTGTATAAATACTAAAACTTAATAAGATGTATGTGAGAACATAACAGATAATTTTTGTTTCTTTTTAGTTTTCATCATCTATCATATCATTAAATAGTAAATAATACTATTCAATACTAGAACAAAGAGATACTTCAGCTATACTTTAATTGAAATTATAATTTTTGTTTTATTGTGGAGATAAATAAAAATATTTATAATCATGAAATAAATTTAATAATGATATTTAATTGTATATCATGTTCTCATTGTTTTGAGAAGTTGTTTTATTATAACTATTGTCGATTTCATAATTATTCTCTTTATTAGAAGAGGGTTGGGGTCAATGTGTTTGTTTGTAAGTTTATTTCATCAAAAATATCATCATTATTTAATTAACACCTATTATATTTCATTTACTTTGTATTATATTTGTATTGTTATTATTATGCTTATTACCATTTTCTATTCAATTGATAATTTATAAATAAATCAAACAATATTTATCAAAAATGGAATAATTTATATTGGCAACGGAAAAAAAGGAAATAAGAGAAAAATTAAGAGAAATGATGAAAAAGAAGGACATGAAAGAAAAAAGTGAAATTAAGAAGTAGAAGAAGTGAAAAGAATAAAAGTAGAATCTTGAGAATATAAAATGAAAGAAAATAAAAAAGAATAATCAAAATAGA